AAAAAATTAGTCATTAGATAGTATACCACTAAATAATGTTGTTTTTAAATGAAAAACAAATCTAAATAAAGTTATGGCATGACTGCCGAATATTAAAAAAAAAAAATGATCATAAGTAGATTTATAAAAATTCTTAGGCTGTATCTAATTACCTGATAGTGAATTTTTCTAAACTACTTTTTTGATTTTACTAAGATATTTTTAATTGATAATATCTAGTGAAATTAGTATAAAAAAATAAACATGTAATATGTTTAGTAGGTTTACTAATTTTTCCCTATAGTTTCTATTAAATAAATACAAATATTGTTTTTCATTAGTCAAAATTTATTACATAACTGGTCGAGTAGTTAAAAAATTAATTTTATATACTACAAAAATAAATTCACAAAAAAATTTTTTCGTAATTATTATATATTTATTTAATTTTTTAATTTATTAATTTAATTTATTTTTTTTTTAATTTATTTTATTTTTTTTTTATTTTAATTTATATTAATTTTTTTTTTTGATTTATTTTTTTTTAATTTATTTTTTTTTATTTGATTTTTTTATTTTCTCTAATATATCAATTAAATAATTTTAATAAATTTTTTGCTAATTCTATTAAATTAAAAAAATCTGCTGTATTATGTAAAGCTATTAATAAATAAAATAAATAATTTAAAACAATCTTGATATCATATAATTATTTATTATAGCAAATTCACTTAATTTTGATGATATTTTTAATATTAATGAAGATGAAAAGGTTGACATAGATATCAGTGACAATGAGCCTAACAATATACTCAAATCTATTCTAGATATAACAAATAGTGTTAGCCAAATATAGGAAACTGTTGATGATAATTCTAAAGAGATATCAATAACTGAGAAAGCTAAGACTTATTATTTTTCAGTAAATAAATATGAAAATTAGATCATAAACTTTGAAAAAGAAGATCTCAGTTATTATTAATATAACTATCAGACTAAATTTGGTACAAAACAAAAAAATAAATAGATTGAGAGGTAGTATTGTTACTGTTATAGGTATACAAAAGTACTGCTAAAAAGATTGCAAATAAAAAACTATGATTAGCACAAAAAAAAACAAAAAAATGTAGTTGTAAAAGTTATATTTTTATTTTGCTTTCATTAATTTACCAACTATAATTTTAAAACATTATTATAAATATTATAAATATTTTCTTAGTCAGCTATTAGACTTATATACTCTATCTTTTTTTAAAAATATTCATCAATTTATTCAACAATGTGCTCTTGAGGAACTTGATATTTTTAGTATTCACAAGCTTTTATAGTTTCAAGCAATTAAGCTATAGGATCAGATTATTATAATTTTTTTTATTTTATAATTTATTTTATTTATTTTTAATTAATTATTTAATTAATTATTTATTTTTTTAATTCTTAATTTTTATTTTATTTTATTATAATTTTTTTTTATTTATAATATTTATTCTATTTTATATACATATTATTTTTTTTATTTTTAATTTTTTTCTTTTAGGTTAATTTGCTAAGAAATTCTGAAAATAATGTACAAAATTTACAAGTATTATATGATAGATTAATAACATGAGATGATATTTATGCTATAGTTTATAATATAATGAAGACGTCTGCTTATTTTGATAATAATAAGATCTATTCTTTAGAAAAGTAGTAAGAAAAAATAATTAATTTGAGTAGAATTTGTTTATTTAAAAAGTATAATAAGATAGATAACATCAGGTTTGTATTTATATTTTAAACAAAAGAGCAAAAGAAATTAATGAGTCTTGCTCAAGTTATATATTTAGATAGTATACATAGAACAAACCACTATGAGTATTATCTGTTTATACTTATTATATAGCATCAAATTGTAGATAATGAATATTTAATTGTATTCTTAATAAGTGAATTTAAGTGAATATTAATATTAAAAGTGTGATTTGATTTTTTAAAATATAAAAATAGGTAGTGGAAACTAGACATTTTTATAGTTGATTATACAGAAGAAGAAATCAAGGTATACTAGATGTTTTTTTCTTATAGTTCTGTATTTCTATGCTATTTTCATGTTTTAAAATCTTGATACAAAAAATTTGGTCATAAACAAAGTGCAGATAATAATTTACACAAAATCATTTAGGAAAACCTCTAGAAATTAATAAAGATAGAAGGATAGAATGATGCAAAAGCCAAAGAATATATTAGAAAAATAATTCAAAAATAGAGAGAAATGAGTGCTGAAAAAATAAGTAACTTTGCTAATTATTTTGATTATTGGTGAAGACCAAAATATGAAATATAGATAATTTACATAAGAGGAACTTCTAGAAATTCAATAAATACAAATAACCTAATTGAATCATTCTATCATAAATTAAAGTTTACTTATATGAGAGGATAATTAGATAAGAATTAAAATCAGTTAAAATTTTAATTTATTAACTAATTATATACTGATTATATTGTTAACTATTAACTAACTAGATTTTTATTTATTTATTTATTTATTTTTATTTATTTTTATTTATTTTTTATTTATATTTTTATTTATATTTTTTTATTTTATTATTAATATATTTTTAATTAACAAAAATTTAGCTAACTAATTTTAATTATTATTTTTTTTTATAGGTTAATGCCTTGATGAAGAAGTACTTCATTTTGTAGAAATTGTACTCTGTGATATAAATTTTTCAGTATTTTTAAATGAACTAAAAATTAGTAGAATGTGTTTATAACAAAGACAGCAATGAATTCAAGAAATAGCAAGAACTATAAATATAAATAATAGTAATATTCATAATATCCAGCCTAGTATTTGAATAGTATATTCTCTAACAAATAAAGATATCGAATATTTAGTCTGAAAAAAAGATGATAGTAAAAATAGATTTGATGTTACCTCTTATGTTTGTAATTGTTGTAATTAAAAATTACAACAATTACTATACAAATATGTATTTGCTATTCTAACATGAATTAATATGAATAAAGTTAATGAGAATAATCATCAACTGCTTGTAGAATCTCAGAATCAGATTTCTCTGATTCTTCTGTCTCTTGTAAACATAAAGATCTAAAAAACAATAATTATATTTAACTCGCAAAATTGCAAGAAGAATTTTCTACAATTGTCACAGAATAGAAGGATAAAAAAGGAATAGATATTTATAATTTTCAAATAGCTTTTTAACAAGCTACTCAAGCAGAAAGAGCAAGAATTGCAAAGATCAAATCTGTTCTACAAGCTACTAGTAATGAGCCAAATATATGCCAAATAGATCAAATTGTACCAAATGCAAAAATAAGAAGCCAAAATAAATATTAATTTTTTTTTTTTTTTTTTTTTTTTTTTTGGTATATATACATATGAATTTACTAATTAGCAAACTAACAGATTATTTAAAGTATAATTATTTATTTGTTGCATATATGTATCAACTTGAAATATTTATGTGCTCATGCTAATTAATTAACTTATTGAAGCAAAAACAAAAAATAAATTATTGAAAATCTTTATGAAATCAATTTATTTAGTTGAACATTTATTACTTATTCTCTAAATTTAAATTGAATTCTCGATTATTTTAATTTTTGCCAGCAAAGAAAAAAAAATTCATAGTATACAAATATAAATATTTTAAATTAAGAAATTTTCGCTTATTCAAAGAAAATTTTTATAGCATTAAATAAAGATTAAATATGCATTAAAAAATAATTTTTATAGCATTAAGTAAAGATAGAATAGCGCATTAAAAAATAATTTTTTATATAGTGTACATATTAAAAATAAAGATTTTAATATCTGCTAATAAAAAAATTTAATTTATTTTTTTATTTTTATTTTATTTTTATTTTTTTGAATTTTTTCTTGGAGTAACATGATCGGGTTTGTCCAATTAGAGATGGATTTCATGCGTCCAATCAGAACTATGGGGGGGAAATTAGGGCCCTCACGTTCAGTTTGAACAAAAATTTATTTTTTGAACAAAAATAAATTTTAAATGTATGATAAAATACACATTATTTTTAATTCTTTACTGTATTATATATTAATGTGCGTTATTTTTTATTTCTATATTTTTTAGTAACGCACAAAGAATTTAATGCGCAAAAAGCTCATAATTTCAGAGTTGAATTCTTTACACTGCTTTAAAATAAAACTGTTTTACATTCCAAACCCTTTTCAAACCTTAAATATTATCCTAATTCTAATATAAAAAAAAAAAAAAAATTAAACACTTTACGTATTAAAACTTAAATAAAAAAATTTTAATTACTGTAGGTCATACAAACTTAATTATTTGGTTTTCATAACAAGAAATTTTAAATCAGACCCGGCCTGCTGGCTTTTTTTTTAAAAAATAAAAATTTACAGTATATATAAAAGTTTTATAATGTACTATATGATATCATTTTTTTTTTTTTTTTTTACAAAAATCCACATAAATTTTGATACATCTAATAAACTTTTGATTTTGGACGTGATCAGTCTGATCACGTCAATAAGTCAAAAGCTTATCATTCCGAAAAAAAACTCCCCGAATCAGGAATTTACTAATTTACCCCCCAAC